CCTGGTTCAGGTACTAAGGGGTCCTATGTTCACTCAGGGTTCATTTCCAGAAAACGCAATCACTTTCAATGAAAAACAAGAGCGTCAGCAAAGAAATCCCAATGGTCGAAATTGAGAAAGATCCCAATCTCTTAGGTGAATAGTTCCCCACCTCTCTTATGCCTTCAAGAATGGGAGTCGTCACACCCTGATTGGCTGAGAGGGGAATCACCAAGCTGCTCTCAATCACTGTTGAGGAGTCAATCCCCACACACTGTGCAACAGGTGATCTGAATGATCCTCTAATAAACCCAGAGGGACATTAACATTCAGCCAAAATTAATGGGAAGAGGGAAAAACTAAATAGCTGTTTTCAACAAACAGTAAATATCTGTATATGAATGAACAGAAGTTTCACTGTTCCAGGGGGAAAACTAATGAAGACAGTGAGAGAGGCATCATGACCATGAGTTAAATAGTCAAATAATGAACGAGTCTTCAGCTGATGAATGAACTGTGCGCCGCACCTGACTCACAGAAACACAGATGCTTGATGCAATATTCAATAATCAGTTGTGAACACAAAATATCTGATATAAAAATAACTGCTTTATATATTTCACCATCATTCAATTATTCGTGTTTCAGGTCCCTGTGATACACAAACAAAGACTACAGAGTGAATTACAGCATTGTATTAGGATTGATTAGCAAATCAAGCAAAAAACATTATGCAGAACATTCATTGGTTCTAGCTTCTCAAGTGATTTTTATATTATAATAAATTAAAAAACTATTTGAAGCTGTCACCATCTTGGGCTCTTTTGAAGTTTTGATTGAAATAATGAAAATATTCCTTAGTTGCAGCAGTAGAAGAGTCCGTGTGTGTGTGTGTGTGATGTTCCTCCAGCCTCACCCTCGCTCTATGATGATGTAGCGGAGTCGGTCGCTACTGTAGCGGGTTGGCGTGGCCCAGCACATGTTAACTATGAGGATGAGCTGGTTTTCATCTGCCCCCTCCACAAAGACGCCCACGAAGAGGATGTCCCGCGTGCTGAGCACCACCTCCCCCTCCCTGTATGGATGGCGGTACGAGGAGTTCTTATATAGAGCCATCTTGGTGATGAAGTTTCCTTCCTGGGTCGGTAAGGTGAGGTTTATCACGCTGGAGGAAAGAAAGAGGAGAAATTTAGCCTTTTTTCTGATGATACTTTTACTGAATCTGAATACTTCCTCCCTCATTGTCTATCTGACCTGAGCATGGGCTTGAGGACGGTCTCCAGCGAGATCTTCAGGTCCAGCTCGTAGGCGCAGGAAAACTCCACATTGATGGTCTTGTCTCTGGTGATGACGTTCCCGGTGTTGTTGACACTCTCGATCCACACAGTGTTCTTATACATGATGTGTGTGCCATTCGACTGTCATAGAGTCAAAGGGATATTTAGAGGATTCTTCAGGAAATGCTGGAAAACAGCTGATACATCAGTTCTGCTGCCTGATTATAATTTGATATTTCACTGTTAATAGTTAAAGGAACAGTCCGTCATTTTGGCAAATGCATGCGTTTTCTGTCTTGAAGGGACAGTTAAACATTTTGGGAAATAGTGCTCTATGTGCGTTTACATCTTGGAGATAGGCCAGAATTAGTCAGTCTGGTTGTTCAGCCCAGAGATATCACAATTTTGGTGGCATTCATTATCACTGATAAGGGACCCGAGATTCAGTGGGCAACAAATCGCTACACAACGCTTTTTCCTTCTACAGCACCCTCAGTCTTCATCCTTTATGCTACTAGGCTAACCACCTTATTATCCAACTCCAGCTCTGGTAACTCTGCACAACAGGCCATGAGAACTGATATTGATCCTCCGTCATCTCACTCCTCCAGAAACATACACACAATAAGCTTGTTCCTTCACTCCTGTTTACTTGGACGGCGCATCGTACAGAGTTAGGGGACAGTAGCCAATTATTTCAGGCGCTCCGCGAGACTAGGTCGGCAGGTAGGAGCTAGAACAGATTTTACCACCCAATGTTCTAACAAAGTGGCCAACACAAATGCATAAAAATGCTTTTCTACAAAAAAAAAACATGATTTACTACAAGCGGTTAGAACACAGAACAGATTGAGCTGAGATTCTTGAAAATAAAAGCATTCATCTAAGAGGTTAGAAAGCAACTCGTTCTGAGCAGACACAAGTGTCCAACGCAAAGGAAAGCTAGAAAGTAAGTAATGAGAACTGTGAACGACTCATGTGAAGAACGTGCTAAGAACAACAAAATTAGACTTAACACCGACCTGTCACGATGGACGCCGCAAGTGCCCCTTAAGCGTGTCCCTGTTGAATCCGAGGAAGGACATGAAGTCCTCCTCCCCGCTCGACTGCCGGCGCAGGTCTCATCGTTGATCCCTTCACGTCTTTCCCTTCGACCGAGCCCAGCTGAAGAGTTTACACTACGTCCGACCTGCACTCCATCTGAGCGTGCTTACAGTCACCTCCGCCTGAGGATGATGGTCATCCTCACCTGCCACCACACACAGACCCACACATAAGGTACTGTTACGCACAGCATTAATTATCTCTGGAAAGCGCTGTCACCCATCATAAACTCGCTGCCCTAAAGGCCTTTCCAGTTATCAGTAAGGGAACTTTCTGCTGCACAGGAATATATGTTTAGAATGAGGGTAGCCTTCTTAGTTTCTTAATAGTAATATCCATAGTTGCAAATTAAACAGAATACTGGGATTGATTAAAATGGGGGGAGGGTGCGATATCCAGTACTGGCCCTCATGAAGCACCCTTACCAGTCCAGTGTGGTGGCGCTAACTCTGCGCCACAGCCACACAGGTCGCCTCCGTTCTCCAAGCTCACAGGTGAGAGTTTTGTGCAGAATTCGTCTCCTGCACAGGGGTCGTCACCGATCCATCTGCTAAAGACACCGTCCACAACACAATGTTCAGCTGTCAACACGCCCACAACGTTAGCATATACTTAAACATGTGTGTCATCAATGGCCAAAATTAATCTAATCAGCAAAATTACAGATAATACGCTCCCTTCTACTTATTAACCAAAATAGACTTTGTCTCTGTTACATTAAGAACCTTTATATCAGGTTTTTTGGTTTACTTCAGGGTAGGCAAACAAGCTGTAAACAATACTGACATATTGAACTTTATACCTTAATCCAAGTTCATATGGCAAACCAGGCCTAGCAAACCAGCCTTTGCCTTTTTGCACCAATCAGACAGGTCACAAGAAACAATATTAGCCACATTTGGGAGTCATGGTTTCTGTAAATGTTCACCAGCAAATGCCTAACCTTTGTCCGTCTGCACTGTTTGGTTCTGGACGGTTCCCTTTACAGGCTGATTTTTAAAGAGTAGATACGAGTAGATAGATAGATAGATAGATAGATAGATAAAGATAGAAGATAGATTAGATAGATGGAGCTTTATTATACCGTGAAGGGAAAATCCAAGTCTGGTAAAGACCCTGGTAAAACCAAAAAAAAATCGAGGCTGAAAGACGCTAAATAAATCTCTGTAGAGGTAAATTACAGATTTGGGTCATATTCTTTGTGGGTTTTCCACTACGTGTGACATCTTTCGCAGTAGTCCTTGTTAATATAAAAGCATTGATAGCGGCTTTGCTTCTCTTTATATTGTCATTGGCATTATACAGGAAGTCCTCTAATGGACCTCATTGAAGACATAATTTGAATGATGCCACAAAATCTTTGTATCTTAAGATAAATAAGATTTGTATTCTTCTATTATTGTCTGTTTGTAATGCATGAGATTGCACCTTAAATTAAGTGTTATTACACACACATTGGGCCTTAAAGTAAGTTTTTTTTTATAATTGTAGCTTTAAAGATGTGACAGCACAGAGACATGTAGAGTCATGTGTCTGAGGGAGGCTGGTGCCTCGCGGTGCCCTTACAGCAGTTCTCTTGGGTGATCCACTTGGTGGTGAGGGTGCCCAGGGAGCGGCAGGCCTCTGCGTAGGCTGCCAGTGAGCCACAGACCTGAGCCTTGCGGTGATTGTAGCAGCCGTCCAGGTAGCAGGACTGGTAGAAGGGCCGGGGATCCAGCAGGCCGTGGCAAGGCTGGAAGAAGCCCTTCAGCTGGGTGAGTTTCTGACAGGCATCTTCACCTTGCAGCGCCACCACCGCTGAGTTGTCACAGGACTGAGCCAGAGCCACGTACTGGGTTTCATCACAGCTAAAGGAGAAAGACCAACATCCAACTGTCAACTGTATTTTATTATTCATTATTATTTAAATTTTTCATGTGCCAGATTTTCTTTGTATCTGCTGCACGGTACATACGGCTACACACGTACAGTGAGCATAGACTCAACTGATTCAAAGACACCAAATGGCAAAAACAATGAAAAATACCTATTTAACAGATGGGCCTGGTTGGGTCTGTGCCAGTCATTTGATCGATGGGTGAATTAATTAAAAGTTATGAAGAACAGTGTTAGCTTAAAGGGCACAAACTCATAAAAAGACTGTTGGTGATGAACTTAGACTAACATTAGTATTATTTAAAGCAGTCCATAAACTTTTCCCAAGTCTCCAATGGCATTGTATTTTAGCCTAGATCTGGTGAAGATAGTCCCACATTAAACAAACCCCCAAATGTCAACATAGACCATTTTCACAGCAGCCATTTTGACATGAAATATTAGGTTAAACACAAATTTAAACAATAGTACATTTTTGACATTTTTATTAGTATCATTGGTAACACCTATGTTTAACCTACTATTTCATGTTAAAGTGGCTGCTGTGAAAAAGCTCTATTAGCATTCATAAGGAGTCGTGTTTCTGTCCACCTGACAAATTTAAGTGGCGTCTGTAATCCTCACCCACCTGTTCTGCATACCGTTGGTCTTCCAGCTCTGGGCCAGCTCCAGCGCGCTAACAGCCGGTTTGCCCCTGGAGGTGATGTAGTCGTCACTGGGATCCCCGTTGAAATTCCCACAGAGACCACACACCTTGTTCTGAAGCCGCTGGCCCATTGTGATGCTAAGGGTGTTAAAGTGGTTGTATCGGACCTGGATGTCCTGGGGTGTGTCGATGACTATGAAACCTTCGGATGAGGACAGACGTGTCATCAGCCCAGTTAGAAATGGTACTGATACTGGTGTACCATTGACCTGTGAAGACACATGACACGGAAATCTTTACATCGGCATACAGTCACTTTTATTTCATCCATTTGCACATAACTAGCATAACAATTTCTCTGCTTTCATCTAAGGTTTGGCCACTGTGGGAGTTTGAGTTCTCTTCTGACTGCAGGTGATGGCCATTAACATAATGTTGTGATTAAATCACAATTTATCATTTTACTGCCAATATAAATTCCTAAAGGTGCAAGATTGGGTATATTACCAAGTAGTATCAAAAATAGAAATTAATAGACCTACTACTGTCAACACCAACCACATAATTAGAACATATTGAAATACATTATATTTAACCATGTTTTTTTACAGACCAAGCAGAAGTAATGCATATTCTGAAGCCAACTTTTGAAACATGTCATTAGGTCATGTTTATAAGTCATTCTCAGAAAATTTGGAAAAGTCATCAAGTATCAAGTAAAGAAAACAATGTTTTTGAATGATTAAATAGTTCCTGGTGTTTGCAGCAAGTTATGGCATTTTATCCTATAGCTTAGTTCGTGTTTAGTGTTGCAAAACTGAAAATAAGACATTAACTAAATGTGATCTTGTATAAACTTTGGCAATGTGATGGAGATAGGAGAACTTGTTTTAGGGAAGTAAGGGGGAATCAAAGATTAAACCTAGCTATGGGTTTTTGCACACTTTTGCACTCACTGTACTTTTTTCTCCTGAGGAGTTTGTGCTTAAACATATAAGCTCCATCATCTGGAGGAGGAATGTAGATTTGGGTGTCATCTGCAGAAAATTATTTAATATTCACAAAAGATATCCCTGAGGGGTAGCATATAACAGAAAAGATATAGTCCAAAGAAAGATTGTGATGATCTGAAATGGTGCTGTAATTACTCTGGGTTCTGGTGAATATGACACTTCAATACATTACCACTGATACCAACATAGATCTTTAGACAGTTTAGGAAAATGGCTCACTCAGATCAAGCAGGATCAAGACTCATTGAGAGCCAAAGTTAAAGGTAATCAGCAAGTCATTAACTACCTCTGTGAGTGCACTCTCAGTGGAATGATATGGGCTAAAGCCTGCATTGGAGGGGCTCTACCAGGCAATTAATGGTAATTGGTAAATTGGACTGTGAGAACTCTTCAAGAATCTTGGAAAAAAAAGGGAGATTTAAATTGGATCTGTTTGTTTAGTGTCTTTAAGAGAGGTTTGATAAAGGCATCTTTGACAGCAGACGGAAAATAGCCAGAAGAAAGTAAGTTGATAATATAAACAAAAAATCTAACCAATACAGATAATAGTCCAATTCAAGCATTAAAGTGATACTATGTAGCCTTTGAAAGAAGAAGTAACACAAACTTCTTCTGAAAAAGCAAATGTTGAATTAATAGACAATGAACCACACGCTGTCTCAACTCTACAGTTTACTATTTAGCTTAGCTTTAGCTTATACTGCCTAATGATAGCAAAACTTTTTATTGACATTTTTGAGTCAGTTTGCTCACCTTGTAACTCCTCTTTACTTGTGGCACTCTTAAACTATGTTCTAGCATTTACCTTTGTCCAATAATTGTCACCTGTGGCCACAACAAGCTAAAAATCAGACATGTTTAATGTGGATTTGTAAAGTTAATATGACTGAATATTAGCAACCTATTTCCCATTTTGCACATCCAGCAGACACAGAGCAACATTAGCATTAATATGGAACATTCTGGCCATCTGAAGAATGTTGGGAGTACAATATAAACTCTTTTAGCTTTGTTTTGGTCTCAAAAAATTGTTTTTTAGCTGCCAAAAGTTAAAAGACACTAAAAGGCTATATAGAGTCAGGTGATAATTCTCTGAGATTCGTAACTATGAGCAACACCTTTCAAATAAAATTGATTGATCTGTTGTTTATATAAAATATTGATTTGTGTGGCTTAAAGGATTTGGCAGGAACACAGTCTGAAATGCAAGTTAGCTTTGGAGGAACAAACTATGTCACACTTGAATGAGTGAAACTGCACAAGGGAATAAAATATTATTCCACGTGTGAGTGAATAATTCAGCCCATTTGATAAACCCTTACCAGGTGATAGACAGGTATTGTTCTAGTGGGTTACAGGTAGTTGTATGCAAAGTGGAACTGATCAATTTCAGAATCAATGTAATGTAATCAAACTGCAAAGTAGAAATCATAACAAGGTCAGTCAGTAATTTCCAACATTTGGTCGATATACTGACAAACCAACAATGGTTTGACGTTTCTCTCACCTTGACAGTGCTGCCAGATATAAGTATGTTCTCCTCATTGATGTAAAGGTAGACATGAGAGATGGTGGTGAGGTTGGGTGTGCTCCATTTATCAAAGTTAGCAATGAGCTGGAAGGAGAGGTCAGGCAGCTTGTGACAGTTTGTGGACAAGACAAAGGAGCAGGAGGCCGGGAGTCGCAGCGATGCACCATCAAAGGTCCTGAAAACCCCACCGCCAGAGGCCACACAGTGCTGGGATCGCCGCGCAAAGCAGCCTCGCACGCCATACCGGAGGGTGCACTCTTCCTCTGCCTTACAGCGCCTTGGGTCGCACTGGATCAGGTTCCGTCCAATGCACTGGCAGCGTTTGGTACAGTCACTGTTCCAGAACAGCTGTTTGGGCTGAAATAAAGAGAGGTTTCTGTTAAAATCAGAGCTGAAACAATTCGTCGATTAGTTGATGGACATTAAAGTGTTTATTTTGATGATGGATAAATTATCATAGTGACTTTTAAAAGCAAAAATACAAATATTATCAAGTTACAGTTTTCTTTCATTGAGTATTGGGATTTAAGAAATTGGGAGTATTTTTTTATACTATATAATAATAATATAATAATGAGTCTATTAATCAAAAATATAATAGATTATAAACAGGTTGATATATAATGAAAATAACTGTTAGTTGAAGCCCTAGCATGAAGGATTAGCTTAATATACTGCACTGGTACTGAATTGAACTAAATGAGCTGGAGAGATTTGTTCCAATGTCAGTCATGACCAGTCTTTCAGGCAAAATGTCTCTCAATTAACATTAAAGTAAAAGAAAATTGAGCTTTTATTGCAGGTTTATTATGCCAGCCTGATGTTTAAAACAATGTATATGACACTGACTATGCCAATGAGGACTTTAATAAAAAGTCTGTTCTGACTGCAGAGAGTTTAGTGCTGGATGTGAGACTGACCTCATAGTACTTGCCATCAGTGTAGCAGCCACAGTTTTGAGGCAGGATGCAGTTCTTGCCATTGAGCACGTAGCCCTGGTCACACTGGCAGCCCTCCACACAGTCCTGGCTGCAGTCCCTCTGGCCGCGGGCTGGGGCGCACTGGGGCGGGCAAACCGACACACAACTGGAGTAATGGCTGTTAGGTGGACAGCTCTGGACTGGGAGCAGGCAGGTTGGCAAAGACATTAGCAAACGATTGCACTGACTAAATTGTTCACATAGGACATTCTCCAGTATAAATAGGTGTTGATTTTTCAGGGGGTATATGTTTGTGTACAAGTGTTGATTGGAGATTTGTGTGTACACATTTAGAGCTTATGTGGCTCTACGGCAGCTGCTTAAAGGGATAGTTCAACATTTTGGGAAACATGCGTATTCACTTTTTCTAGCATGAGGTGAGATCAATATCAGTCTAATAATTTTCTGTTGAAAGAGATCTGGAGTCAGGGCCTTGTTAGCCTAGCTTAGCATAAAGACTGGAAGCAGGGGAAACAACCAGGCTCCATCCAAAGAAGAAGACCCCCTACGAACACCTCTGTCTATACTACTGTTTCACCTGTTAACCCAAATATAATAATATTCTCTTACTTATATCCAGCCATGCTGATATGTTTGGTTTTATGTGCCCAGTCTGATACAATAGAATCAAATGGAATTGAGTTTGTGGTACTCATTGCATTGAAAAATTACAATTAAATGTAATTTCATCAGTAAACAATTGTCCTGTGAATAATCCACAGGCATCACTGTTAACAGTTTTCACTGGAACTACTTTTTACTGAAGAAATAGTCTATATTTTTAAAACAGTTGACAGTGTGTTGAGTGGATTATTCATAGAAACACATGCATTGTTTCTAGAAAGACATGCTGATGATTCAGAAATATTTTTTTCACCACTGTGAGCACCACAAATGAATTTCCTACTGTGTTCGGGTAGATGCAGAAGGAGACAGATGTGTCAAAACCAGGACAAATAAATCTAGAAGTATCGGCATGAGCAGATAGAACTAGAGGTAAGAAAATATGTACTTTCTTTACACAGGGGATCCCAGACTAGCACTCACCACACGGTGTGTCACTCCTCCAGCCGGTAACAGGCACTCCTTGGGTCTGACAGGTGCTGGCATATATCTGCAGCCAGTTACAGACTGTATCCTGAGCTCCCTGGTCCATACAGGTGTCTTGCAGGCAGCTTTGATAAAAGAACGCTGGCGCCACCTTACTGTGACAACGCGCAAACACACCTCCTCGATCCACAATTAGGCCACACAGCCTCACTGCCTCAGGCTCCACAAAGACATACAGTCCATCTCCCATGTGGAAACGAATGCCCGTGTTGACTTCATTTGCTCCGTCGTCTGTGCCGATGTTTGTGTTGGCATCAGCCACCATGAGAGGGACGTCATTTAGCACGCTTTTCTCTCCCAGGCCACAGCGTGGGCAGGAGTCTCCGCAGCCCACCTGGCAGAAGGTGTCCCTCTCTGCCCAGGCCATGCCCCAGTCAGTCGTGGAGAGGGTGGGTGGGGATAAGGGCACGCCCTGGCAGAGGCCGCAGGAGGCGTTGTAGAGGTCGCGGGGCAAAGTCAACAGTAGCAAAGTGTTCCAGTCAAAGGCCACCTTCAGGCCAAAATCTGTCTCCAGTATGAGCTGCATGCCCAAGTTGAAGATGTTGACCTTCCCAGGGCCCAGCTTCAGAGGAAGGTACAAACGCTCCTTATTCACCTGAGTGAAGAGAGATTAAAGAAAAGTCTTGGTTTAACAGGTTTAACTCTTATTACACACATTCTTACGGAAGCGTTTTTAGCACCAAGTCATGGTTTTTAATCCAACTGCATGTTTTCAAAGTATGTGGGGAAACCCAGGTGATGAATGGATAACATTAAGACTCACTGAAAGAGCTTCAATGTGTTTCTCATATAATGTAATTGTACAAGAGAGAAAGTGACAGAGAGAATGAGGGAAAAATGTGTGTGTGTGGGTGTGAGGCTGCATGTGTGTGTGGGTGGGTGCGTTGGGTTATGTGGGTCATTTCTATTCCTCCTCAGATCTTTTAGTCGGTTTGTGAACCCGGTCCAAATGTCGCTCAGGGTCAGGGTTTTGTCTGAGCCAAATCCAGCCTGATAAAAGATGCCCATTGAAATTAGATCCACCTTAAGCCAATCAAAAGGAATTCACCCTCTGCCTGGTTATTCTATCGGTTTGATTAGAAATAACATGTCCTCACAAATACAACAACTATGACCTTCACGGGTCAATGCGTAAAAGGGGCGCTAAGATATAAATATTCATATAATGAGCAAGGTATTCCCGAATATGAAGACAATATATAACCATGAGTTTTGATTCATTTACTGTTCTTCCTGTTTATGCACTCACCGTGACAGTGTTTTTGTAGCTTCGAGACACTTCAATCTCATACTCGTACACCTCAAGTACAAACCCCCTCACCCAAATTGCCTGGCCTGTGTCCCTTTCCTCATTACGAGCGGCCAGTTTAAATTGAGGGAAAGCTCGAGAGATGGTTGGGGGGTCCCTGCTCTCTCTCCCACAGTTGGTGGTGGCCATCCTAAGAGTACAAGAGCTCTGCAGCTCAAATGGTACGCCACCAAACGGCAGAAAATGTCCATAACCAGCCGCTACACACAGGGCCTCAGTGCGCGGCTGGCAGAAATACAGGCCTTCATTCTCCTGGCAGTACTCCTCAGGGTGACAGGGTGCGAGCTGACAGTATACACTGTTGTCAGAGCCATTGCAGTAGCAGCGCTCCTGGCACTCCCAGTCTGTCCAGAAAGTCTGATTAGTGGCCAGCTGGCGCCCGTGGCTCATGCAGCCACAATCACTGCGTGCCACACACAGGCCGTCGCGCAGCGCAAAGCCTTCCTCGCACTGACACCCCTCTTGGCATGGCAGAGGGCATGGCTCGTCAGGTTCATCCAAGTTGGCACAGGTCAGAGGGCAGGCGCTGGTGCACTCATCAAAATGACTGTTCTCTGGACAGGGAAGAGCTGAGAGAGAAGAACGAGGTATGAGACAGCAAGACAAAAGCAAAGACAACAGCCGAATCCATATCACAAGAATACTCCTCCAAAAAAGTTTTATTTAGAAAATGCTCAACCGTAGGGGATGAGGATTAGATTAGGAAAGCTTGAACTCACCATGGTTACAATGGATTCAACTGGTGATCATGTTTATGGCAAAAGATGTGTAAAAATATCTGTATTCTCAAACCACTCTGCAGTATAATCCACCATATGCTCAGTGCATTTTTCTACTCTATATTTTGTCATATGACTAAACACAAAGCTTTTCTCTGAGGATTAGCTCTGTACCCTTTAAAGGTCAGACAAAACTAAGTTTTATTATATTGAAATGTCCCTCCCAGCAAATTCAAAGAACTCTTGTACTAAAACTATATTTAACGTGTTTATATGTTTATAAATGGAAAAACTTTTAAATTTTTTAAACAAGCTTGCTTGCTGACAAGGTACAACACATTGAGACAGATTTGGAATTGTTCGAAGACTTATTTAATTTTTTGGTTAGCCTAGCTAGTCTGACTTTGTATATCTGTTCTAGACACACAGAGATGATATTTTCATCTTATTGATGCCAAAACAAAATTTGCTCCTTTAAAGTAAAGATGTATCTACTCACGACAGTTGGTGGCACTCCTCCAGGAAGCGAGGCCTACTTGAGCATCCTGACACGCGGTGGCATAAGCCTGCAGCGAAGAACACAGGGCTGAACGATTCCCTTCCCTTACACACATGTTATACAAGCAGTTCCTGAAGAATGGTGAGGGGTTGACCACTGCATGACAGGCCAGAAATGAACTATTCCCCGGGTCATTGATGTTGCCACACATCCAAGGACTCTGGTAGAGACGCAAGTCCGTGCACATTCGATACAGGTCATCACAGTCACCATTACAGGTGAGGTCGTCAGCAATGGACCGCCAGCCATCTGTGAACTGTTCAGTAGACTCTGCCAGGCGTCCATTTGGAAGGCGAAGGTCATCAGTGGAGTTACTATTGAAGACGCCACATAGACCGCATGTAACATTGTAGAAGATGGTGGAGAGGGAGATGTTGAGGGATCCCTGGCGTGTGTAGTGGACACGAAGCAAACCACGGGACTCCACCACTGTAGCATTGCCCGGTGCTCTGTAGATCATCATTGTCTCCATTGGATGGACATATGGAAGCCCCACTGGTTCACCATTCACCTGAAACACAAACAAGTGTCAAAGCGTATCTCTAGATATTGACATATAAATGGAGAATCTGTAGGCAAGGGACCAAGAATTTGGCATCAGAAGTGTTCTGGGTTTGAGTAGTATTGACCAATCACGGAAAGCAGAATCCATCTGACAACAATTTAGCTTTTTATTAGCTTTTTAAAAACATATCTCCATTCATATGCACGTATCAATCTCACACATCAAGTTGCTACTCAAAACACTGACCGTTGCCCGCAGAGGCTGAATCATCATTAGAAAACAGCCGATGGGTTCTAAGATTGAAAATAGATAGAGAAAATACTAACCTTTACTGTATCAAAATCTGTCCCTCCCATCTGAGCTTCTAGGTTAGCCACTGTAACAACCACAGGTCTTTTCCATGAGGGGCCTTTGTTCATCATCCGCCTACCCATCTTCACCTCTACTACTGAGCCATTAGCTGGCACTGGACCACACAGCTTTAGCAAGTAGTAGGAGCTGTCATCTGGGAACATCAGGAAGGTGCCATCAAAGGAGGATGTGACTGAGTTCTGGGTGATTGAGCACACTCCCTCCCTCCGAGGGTAGCAACCCAGCAAGCCCACCTCTGCCACACACACCTCCCCCTCCTTGCAGGACTCGTTGAAACAAGAGACTTCCCCAGCAGGCCCACAGTTGCAGCGGAGGGTACATTCACCTTCTTCACCGCTGGGGCCTGCCCAGAAAGTGTTATTAAGGGGGTAATACAGGCCGTTATGCTCACAGCCACAGTCTTCACGCTGTACACAACGACTGCCGCTGAGAACATAGCCTTGGTTACACTGGCAGCCCTCAGTGCAAGGGTGAGCACAATACAGGGGAGCAGTGAGGTCCGAGCAGGAGGCTGGGCAGGCACTTGTGCATACTTGGTAGTGGCTGAACTCCGGACATGTCAAAGCTGAGAGCCAGTAAACGAGAAGAAATTATTATGACAAGTAAATTAAAGTGAGATAAAGAATCTTTGTAAATTGAATCAAACTGTATCTCACCGCAGAAGGTGCGAGATCTCCAGGGTCGTATGGTGACACCCAGGGCCTGACAGGCCAGAGCATAGGCCTGGATGGCCTGGCAGAGTGTGGTGATATTATCCCTGTTGCTGCACATGTCATACACACAGCTATACACAAAGGCTGTAGGGTCCACTACGGCTCTGCAGTCCCTAAAAGGTCCGTCAGTTTTGTTGATGAGCCCGCAGTAGTCTGAGCGAAAATAGAAGGCTTCTGTAAGAGGGTCACACACGCTGCAGTTCTGGGCGCAGCCATCTGTACACCTCCAGTCTGTGTCCTCTGCACGCCAGCTGCCCCCTAACTCCACTACGCTTTCAGCTAGAGAGCCGTCAGGAAGCACAGGGTCATCAGCGGGGTCATCGTTATAGTTACCGCAAAGGCCACAAGTGTTGTTGAAGTAGGAGCTGGGTAGGGAGATGGATGCGTAGTGTTGGCCGTCATAGGTTACCAAGAGTCCAAAGTCTGTTTCTAAAGCAACTGCAACTCCAGACTGGTACACCTTGACAGCACCGAGCTCTAGTTGGACCGGTAAAGTCTTCATCAAGCCATCCACCTAGAGGAAGATAAAGAGGACAAATCAGAAAAGGAAGAATGGATGATGGTAGAAAACTTAGTCCATTGTCAACAGATGCTAATTAAGAATCCCTTTATCATGAAAAAACTCTTAAATTGTGTATCCTCGAACATCAACATGAACTTGGATATAATAAAAAAGAAAACAGGAGGATGCATCCAAGAGATAAACAGTGCTCCGTTTACTGCCAAACCACTCTCGCAGAGTGTAAGTGCAACCATAAGTGTGTGCCAAGAAGCACAGACAAGGCAAATATTGTGGTAATTCCAATATAAAGGCATCCACAGATTCTCACCTGGGCTGTTCCAAGACTGCCTTTGGGTAACATGACTCTGTGACCATACACCTCCACTGTGACATCTCTAAGCCAAGAAACAGAAGCGACCCCACGGTTCTCATTTTTGGCCTCCACGCTGAAGAATGGCAACCCCGCAACCTCCCAGCAAGGCCGAGCCAGCAGGTAGGAGCAGGTTCCTTGGAAGTGATAGAGGAAGCCATCGAAGGTGTGGTAATGAGGGTCACCAAATACCACACAAGTGCTGGTGCGGGTCGGCTGGCAGTAAAAAGCCCCTTCCTGCTGCTCGCAGGTCTCCAGCTGCCCGCACGGAGCCTCTTGGCAGTGCACCTCGTTGTCAATGTCCAGGCAGCGGCATCGCTGTGAACACTGGTCAGACAGCCAAAAGATTTCCCCTCGTCTGTAATAACGTCCTGAAGAGGATGTAGGAAAGACAGAGGTGATAAAAGTACAGTTCTGCAAACAGCTCGAGGAATTTGATTCTACTGGCTGCTTTTAGTGTTTGCTGAAATAAAGATGCTGAAGCTACTTCGCAAAAGAGAAACCTGAGTGGACACAATTATTAGTGTTTGAACTTGCCATTGTAGCTGCAGCCATTGGCAGGATCTATCAGTTCGGTGTCTATGCGGAAGAACCAGCGCCCAGGGATATTTACATTGGTTGTCTGTTCAATGTTCACTACATCATTTGACCGTGATCCCGGCAGATTGAAGAAGTGACCAATGTCTCCACCGTTAAAACCTGACTGAAAAGGGGAAAGGTGTGAGGGATGTGAGGTGAAATGTTTCTCATACAATTTCTATAATAGAACAGGATTATCATGCGTTATGAAATTATCTTGGGGACATTGTGAGAATACCTGAGCTGTCGTCCCACCCAGTCCTGTTAAAGGATCTCCACCACTGGCTGTTCCTGTGCTCCATGTGATTTCTCCGTAGTTGAACATACTGAAGGACGCCACGCCATCTGAGATTAGTACACTTTGGAATGTGTTCACCTTTTAACCAAACAAGAGGATTCAAATAGTTTCAACAAGAGAAAAACAACATACAAACAACAAAGAATACCATAGTGGAGAAGAATCATTTAAACATTCTTTCAGTATTTTAAAAAATGAATAAGTGGAATCTCAAAATGACACTAGGCAAATGTCTGACTAAATTATATCCTTCAGATGATGGGAAACCTTCTCCATGTGGCATACATTTTGGAAAATATTTCTATCAAATCAAAGTGATGACAGATGTATCTCTTTTGTGTCATGTTTTGGTAATTTTCAGACATCTAGGTGTCTACATATGTCAAAACAACTATACTTTATTATTGCTATATTTCCAAATGTAGCTAGAACCTGCCTCACACTGAAATATATATATGTCTTTGGACAAGCAACTTACTAATTAATAGCTTACTGGACCAGGCTTAGCAAAAAGACTCTGGACAAGGCAGGAATAAGAAATGTTGGAAGGCACATATTATTTTTTAGTCAACCTTCTCATCTGACACTCCAAGACAGTAAGAGAGTGAGGTGTGTTTCTTAAATAACACTTCCATTTGCAACTGCTGATGACCTGCATGTGTAATCAAGTTATTTCATGCAGCGTTCAGACTTTACCGGGGTTGTCTGGCTTCCTCCGTAGAAGGTGACTTGGTGCCACGTTGCAATAAAGACCCAGGTGGCTGTGAAGGTGGGCATGTTTTTGAAGTATTTCCGGACATCTTGTGTTGCCCTTTCCAGTATTTCCGGTTCAATGGACTCTCTGTAGTACACATCTCCACGGATGCCGTTGTGCACATCTGCCCAAAGTGGAGCAATGAATGATCTGCTGTCACTCAGGGGAAAAGCCTCTGGTGTGAACTGGCTAACCTGCACGTTGAAGGAGACCACACCGTTGTTGTTGACCTGTGAACATATCAGACGGGGTTGTAGTTCAGCATCACAGACTATAACATATACTTTATACATTGCAATAAATCATTTAAAACATTGATAGATTACAGCTTTCTGTGCAATTGTGATCAAGGCTTACATAGATGGAACGGTAGGGGATATTGAAGAAAACGAAGGGCATGAGCAAAATAACTTCAGGAGAACTCCCATCATCCATCTTGGGGGTCTCTAGATCCCTATGGCCGGGTCCATACGGATACATGATGTCCTGAGTACTACCTAAAAGGAGAATAACGCATAAGAGCTTATTAAATTGACTTTTTTCCACCCTAAAAGTTGAAGGAATTGATGTGAAGGATGACTTGAACAAGTTTCATTAATATTTATGTACCTCCTGTTTGTACAAAGATGGTGAAGAGGTGGATCAGAATGACTGGACAGCCTGGCCTGACCATTCTGAAGAGAGGAAGAGAATGAGATCAGAGATCACATCGGCAGTGTGATTTATTTGCTTATTATGTTACCACTTCCTTTCGTGTTGAGCAAGCCTGTCCGAGCAACTGTTACATTATCTGTCTTGCATTTTCCATAAAGCTAATGGAAATGCAGGCAGACATGAGTCATAGGGCAACTTCTTATAAACAAGGCTGTCAGACAAAAGTAGAGAGGAGGGAGAACCATCAAACCAACGTCACGTTACTTCTTTAAGATCAGGCTCCCAGGTCTCCCCTGAGGAGCCCTGAAAAGGCCCTATTATGCATGCCAGAACAATGTGTCAGGATCACATTTGCCTTACAGTCCCATGTGAGCCAGCAACAGTGGACTACGGGCCTCTCTGTGCCTCGGTTCCCTGCAGCTGACCAAACTGGCCCGCTGTGCTCCAGCGTCTCTGTGTCTGAAACCGCAAGGCTGCTTAGGAACTCATTACCACTTCTGTTTGGGAGCAATCCATGCCTTGTTGGCTAAAGGGAGAGGAGCATAAACACTGGGGCACTAATGGCTTTAAGTGAGTAGGTTTGAATTGCCAAGGTCCTTGCAGTGGCCCTTTGGGGCTGTTCAGTGCCTGGCTTGGCATACTTCCCATTGGCCAAGTAGAGTGTACAGCCAAGTTGGCAAGTTTTACAATCACCGTAAAGCATTTAAACTTAATTGTTTAATGGAAGAGATTGAAACTTCAAAAGGTATTGTTTGTCCTTTAACAATAACGGGCCAATACATCACTGCCAACTGTACCCTCAAGTTACAAAACTGATCCCATGTTTCCAGCCAAACGTATCGCAAATTTTAACCAAATTTTGAGTAATTAGGCAAAATAAAATAGTTAGTTCATTGAGATAAGCAGTGAATGGCGCCAGTCAAAAAACCAGAGAAGAGGGCGCAAGAAGATGATGTAATTTAAAGAGCGCCAGTCGAACCTCAAACAGTGAAAACCAATGCAGAAAATTGGTTATTTGTCTGTCAGAGAGGAAATAGCTAAATGTCAGTTGAATGTTTGCTAAGTCAGAAAGTATTCGATATAAGGGTTTCCATCTCCTATTAAGTACATTAACTCTTTTTTGAAAAAGGCAAAAACTACCTTAAGTGAACGTAAAACATTTTTTGCAAAGTTTTTTATTGTTTCCCTCAACCATTATGGTCTAATGCAATACTGCAATACTAAAAAGGTTATCCTCCAATGGGAATTATATCTTATGCCTAAAACACTAAAGAGACGTCAATGTTACCAGTAAATTACCAAAAGGCTTGCTGAGATTACGCTGACTGGCTGGTAGCTAGCAGGCCAGCTAGCTGCTCCCATCTCCAAAATGTCAAAACAAGTTTTAAAGCATTATTTAAATAAATCAATCATATATAATGAACCTAAATTGTTAATTTCTCACCTAAAAGTTATCAAACTAAATCTAGTGATGAATAAAATGATTGATGTACGAAGGTTGTGGGTCTGGCTCCTGTCGTCTGCCATTGCCACTGGTTGATTCGAAATGCATGATGGGATACTGCTGGGGGCTTCAATTTGTGAGTAAGTCCAAATCAACACTGAGAGCTGTGTTGACATCAATGCAGTTTAATGCATAAAATGTGCATCAAACTGCACTAACTTTTAGGTGAGAAATTA